CGCCACTAGCGGCCCAAAAATCGGGCGATTGTTGCCGCCAGCAAACAAAAATTGCGCGATTTTCGCTGCTAACGGCCAAAAGTCAGGCGATTTTCGCTCCTAGCGGCCAAAAATCGGGCGATTTTCGCTATTAGCGGCCTAAAACAGTTCGATTTTCGCCGCTAGCGGCGAAAAATCGGGCGATTTTCGCCACTAGCGGCCCAAAAATCGGGCAATTTTCGCCGCTACCAGCCAAAAATCGCGCGATTTTTGCAGGTAGCGGCCAAAAATCGGGCGATTTTCGCCACTAGCGGCCACAAAATAGCCCGATTTTTGGCGCTAGCGGCCAAAAATAAGGCTATTTTCGCCGCTTGCGGCCAAAAATCTGGCTATTTTCGCCGGTAGCGGCCAAAAACCGGGCGCATTTCGCCTCTAGCGGCCAAAAATCGCGCGATTTTCACAGGTAGCGGCCAAAAATCGAACGAATTTCGCTGCTAGCGGGCAAAATTCGCGCGATTTTCGCCGCTAGCGGCCAAAATCGGGCGATTTTTGCCAATAGCGGCCAAAACTCGGCCGATTTTAACCGTTATAGGCCAAAAATCGGGCGAATTTCGCCACTACTGGGCAAAAATCGGGCGATTTTCGCCGCTAGCGGCCAAAATTCGCTCGATTTTTGCATGTAGCGGCCAAAAATCGGGCGATTTTTGCCGCAAACGGCCCCAAAATCGGGCGATTTTCGCTGTTAGCGGCCAAAAATCGTTCGATTTTCTTTGTTAGCAGCCAAAAATCGTTCGATTTTCGCCGCTAGCGGCAAAAAATCTGGCTATTTCCACCGCTAACAGCCAAAAATCGGGCGATTTTGGACCCTATCGGCCTAAAATCGGGCGATTTTTTACCCTAGCGGCCAAAAATGGGGCGATTTTCGACGCTAGAGGCCGAAATGTGGCGATTTTTGCCGCGAGCGGCCAAAAATCGGGCTATTGTCGCTCCTAGCGGCCAAAAATCGGGCGATTTTCACCGCTACCGGCGAAAAATCGGGCAATTTTCGCAGGTAGCGGCCAAAAATCGGGAAATTTTCGCTGGAAGCGGCCAAAAATCGCCCGATTTTTGGCCGCTAGCGGCAAACTAGTCGGCGGACTACTTTACAAAGTAGCGAAAGTAGCCAAATTTGGGCTTTGTAGCCCAAAATTGGGCTACAAAGTAGCGAAAGTAGCAAAATTTTGGGGTACAAAGTAGCGAAAGTAGCCCAAATTTGGGCTACAAAGTAGCGAAAGTAGCCCAAATTTGGGCTACAAAGTAGCGAAAGTAGCCCAAATTTGGGCTGCAAAGTAGCGAAAGTAGCCCAATTTTGGGCTGCAAAGTAGCGAAAGTAGCCCAATTTTGGGCTGCAAAGTAGCGAAAGTAGCCCAATTTTGGGCTGCAAAGTAGCGAAAGTAGCCCAATTTTGGGCTGCAAAGTAGCGAAAGTAGCCCAAATTTGGGCTACAAAGTAGCAAAAGTAGCCCAAATTTGGGCTACTTTTACACACGCACACAGCATATATAGATATATATACATATATACAACAGCGACGTTAATCTCCACAATGTCCCTATTGCTCGGGAACAAGCCAGCAGCCTCCTACACAAGACAATTATTCCGGTATAATAATACCTTCATAAGATCGAGTGTCGTGATGGCTATTACAAGAAGTCCGCCACGAGGCCCGTGTTACCAGGGGGCTGAGTTACTGCCGGTAGTGAAGCTTATAGTTATTAATGCCCTTGCCTGCTTGCTTATGGTCTGGAGTGACGTTATGGAAGGCTAGTTATTATCCTGCGGTATCCAGCCCACTTTGTTCTAGTTAGTAGAGCGATGATCTCGCGCTTCTTGCAGGTCGGTGTTCTATCCCCCCCGACCGTCCACAGGTGGTTGGGCACCGTCCCTTTCCCCTGGCCTATCCCAGGTTCTTGTCTACGTAGCCCTTGCAAGTGTTGTGTTGTCGTACTGGCTTAGTGATCTATTCTCGTAATTAATTTTGATATATTATAATAGGTTACAACTAATCACAACCCCGTTGTGACTAGTTTTAATAAGATTATAAAGCCTAGTTATATAAGTTCAATAGTTATAAATGTATAATTAAGCGTAGTTATTAAACCGACCTATTTAGTAAAAAAAACATGTTTTTATACACGCTAATGACTATAGACCCGTTGTGGTGATTTATGCAGCGATGGTTTTGTAAGCATCAATGTCAACTTTGTTTTTAATCAACATCAAACAAACGACGGGAGTATGATGGAGGAAGGTCCACTAATGAAGCACACAGCTGATCACACACACACACTCACACACACTTGTGTCTCATTGTTTGGTTAGGCTAGTTTTTAAGTCCATCAGTTGGATTCGTTGTATTAACTAGTGGTTTAACTCCACTATAACGCCTTTTTCTTTTTTAACTCCTGCCTCTCATTGTTCACTTAAGTTAGTCATTTTAAGTGCATTCCTTCAAGTAGTTTTAGTTACTATTGTGTCTTGACTCTACGAACTCCTTTTTCAATGATGCTTTCATTGTTGTGTTTTTTTTTTCTTCAGGGCAAACTTGTGTGTGTACTTAATATTTAAATTAACTTCATCCTATCTATCGTAGAGGATCGCAGCACCTTCACCAAATATTACTGAAATTTACAAAATACTCCGAAGGAAAGAAGACAGTGTTTTAGTTCATAATATATTTGCATTTATTTTTTTTTTTACCTTTTTATAACTCTTGTTCCTTTTTATAATTACAAATGTGCACGATTAAATGTTCAAATATAATTTCCGTTCTTTTGAACATAAGTTCCGTGTCAGTTATCATATGCAAATATTGTGTACAATTTTAATTAATATTTTTATATTGTGTATAATTTTAATTAATATTTTTATATTGTGTATAATTTTAATTAATATTTTTATATTGTATAATTTTAATTAATATTTTTTTTAGATTTATTCCTTTAAATTATTAGATAGAATTAACTTCCGTTGACGGGGACAGGAAGCCTGCATTTGGTCTTATCCAGGTCGTGGTCCCCCCCCCCCCCCCCTCCCCTTCGTAAACAACTGATCTATGCCGATGGTACATCCCCACAACAGCTGTCTTACTCCTGGGGTCCCTATTTTTTTTACTGCTAGGTGAACAGTTGCATCAGATGAAAGAAAACGTACCCGGAGTGAACTCTCTCACTCCTCGAGTAGGATAGAGACCCGGGTCCCCTCTGGTGTCAGCCCAGGACGCAGACCACTGTGCTACATAATACACTGGTTACCAATAGTTATTTTAGATATGAATATATGTAATCTATAAATATATTTATCTATTAATATATTAATCTTATTAATCTACTAATATATTATACATAATCTGTTATGATTTTATCAATATATTATGTATAGTCATCTCTAATTATATACATTAACCAAAATAATTTTCAGAATGGCATTAGCTATAATTGTTGCCTGTAATATATAAAATCTTTAAAATCTCTCAAATTGTATAATCGTATGATTATCTGCAATGGCCCAGTTATTATTTTCTTCCATTATCTTTATCTTTTAGTGTCATTGTAAATATAAGTGACAATAATCTTATATAATTATTATACTTATTACAATAATCATAACAATACACAGTGAGGAAATGAATCCCGCCTTTCTAACCAATCTATTTTTCCTCTATTATATCTACTACATATATTTCTCTCTAACACGCACACATACACACACGAACACATTCCCCAGGAAACAGCCCGTAGCAGCTGTCTAACTCCCAGGTACCTGTTTGCACCTGTTAACTGCTAGGTGGACAGTTGCATCGGGGTTAAAGAAACTGCCCATTTGTTTCCGCCTCCGCCGGAAATCGAATCCCGGCCATTAGGACTAAGACCCCTGAGCGCTGTACACTTAGCCACGAGGCCCCCTGTGTGTGTGTGTGTGTTATAAATATATGTAGATGTTATGATGCAGTGGAAAATAGCTTAGGAGTCAGTACATTAGATAACGACGGTTAGAAAGACGGGGTCCAAGAGCTAACAGCTCCATCCTGTAGGCAAATACTCCCACAAACACACCCACCAACACGCACAGAGGCATTACGAGGAAAGGCTGCGTGAAATGCACCTCACGACACTGGAAGACACAAGAGTAAGAGGAGACATGATCACTACCTACAAAATTCTCAGGAATTGACAGGGTAGATAAGGATAAACTGTTTAACACGGGTGATACGCGAACAAGGGGGGCACAGGTGGAAACTGAGTACCCAAATGAGCCACAGGGACGTTCGAAAGATCTTTTTCAGTGTCAGAGTAGTTAACAGATGGAATGCATTAGGCAGTGATGTGGTGGAGGCTGACTCCATACAGTTTCAAATGTAGATATGATAGAGCCCAGTAGGCTCAGATATCTGTACATCAGTTGATTGACAGTTGAGAGGCGGAACCAAAGAGCCTGAGCTCAACCCCCGCAAGCACAATTAGGTGAGTACACACACACACACACACACACACACACACACACACACACACACGCACTCTGTCTATTTGTCTTTCATTAGCACATTATACATCATTTCAGTCTTCATTTTCCTCTTCCATTTCCCCCCCTCAATAAACACTTGTCTCCCTTTTTTTTCCTTTCCTCTTTTTCCCCCCCTTCGTGTTTTGTCCATAAAACCGTAGTCTGTTTTTCCTCCCTCTTTATTGGGTTCTCCATTTCCTCCCCTTCTTCCATCTTTATCTGGTGGGAGCTTCCCCATCTTTACTGCTTGTTCCAGCTATTCCCGTGTTTTATGTACGTGTCTTCTCGCCCGTGTCTTCTTTTTTTACTTTCATTTCTCTATTTCTTTGAACTTATTTTCCGCTCTCTCTCCATTCCTGGTATGTCGAGTCTTCCAGGAGGGAGCCCGAAGCAGCAGTTTACTTTTTACGAGTGTATCAATATTCAATATTCTACTGCAGGTGATCGTCCCGATGTGACCCATCTTCTCCCTCCTAACAGAGAAGACCTATGTTCAGCCTGCTGGAGGAGGAGCAGCAGCAGCAGCAGCAGCAGGAGGCAGCGGTAGTGTGTCCAAGCAGACCAGCAGCAGCACCATGGTGGAGGTGGGCGGGGTTCAGGTCTCCGTCGCCGGCCAGAGTTCCACAGTTGGTGGGGAGAGTGAGAGCACAGCGGGGAGTCCTGGGGAGCATGCACTCCTCCCCAGCCCCGATGGCAGCCAGCCGTCGGCAGGGTGTATGTCCGGCTCCAGTCCCACAGGCAGTCAGAGGACTACTGGCTGTGTGGGCAGCTCGAGTCCTTCAGGAAGTCAGAGGACTTCCGGATGTGTGGGCAGCTCGAGTCCCTCGGGAAGTCAGAGGACTTCAGGCTGTGTAGGCAGCTTAAGTCCTTCGGGAAGTCCGAGGATTTCAGGCTGCGTGGGTAGTTCCAGTCCTTCGGGAAGTCAAAGGACTACGGGTTGTGTGGAAAGCTCAAGCCCAGCAGGAAGCCCAAGGACTACGAGTGGTGTTGGAGAGGGAAGTCCTCCTTCAGGTATCCAGAGACTAGCCAAGATACAGGGAAGTGGAGGCCCTACAAGCAGCGCGTGTGCGCGACCTTCTGCAGGAGGGAAATTGGGGGTTGAGGGCGCCGGTCGGAGTAGAGAGAGTCCGCCTATACACAGACCTACTGCAGGCGTGGTCTTCAGGAGCGCTCTAGGCAGCGGCGGGGGAGCTAGTCAGCGACCCCTCAGTGCCGTGGGGGACATTGTCGTCAACCCCCTCCGTCAGGTAAAGTATCTAAGCCCTCTTCTGTAGTAAGTCACGAGCGTCAGGTATAGTGCCTCGTCCTACCCCTGTGGTCAACCTCTCACGTCAGGTATAGTACCTTGTCCTACACCTGTGGTCAACCTGCCTCTTAATGCTTCAGTCCTGCAGCTGTGGACACGCACGAGACCTCAAACACACCCTTCCTGGTCGACGTTAATTTTGACAAATGATTTGGCTTCACGTAGCTAAGCGCACATCCATTTGACTTGTCAGTGCAATGAAAGCCTCGTTTCTTGCAGGTTGGCGCTCGATCCTCGATGGTCCAAGTTGTTGTGCACCGCTCCCTCGCTCAGTCCTATCCTGGCCTCATATCCCTTTCAGAGCCTGTACTCAGGATAAAGTGATAACCACGAGACACCAAATCCATACTCACACCAACTGGATAATTTCGATATTTGTGATGGTCTAAAAGCATATTACGAATCCAATAATCGTCTACTTGTAAACTAACAAGTGAGCCTTTATTCTGAACAGAGTTATAACTTTATAGTATTATCAATTGTTGGCTTAAAATATGAAGAGGCTATGCTTAACTCATCTTCTTTGAAAGGGTCTGAAGAATTCGGTTTTCTGTAAATGGAAATCTAGGGTATGCTCAAATAATTTTATAATTTCATATTTCACGTTTGAGACTAATACACCGTATTAACGTAACCCAGTGTAACGAAACCTGACCTAAAGTAACCTAACCATGGATAGGGAGCAGTTAATTGCACTATTTACATAGTGGATGTGAAGCTGTTACCTCCAGGGGCACCTCCTCCTCCTCCCTGAGGCCACACTGCCCTTTCAAGTGCTGGATAGCACTTGAAAGGAATGTGTGTCCATGCACTTGAATGGAATTAGACAGTGTGCTATCACTTGAAGCCAGTGATAGCACACTGGCTTGGTGCTTAGTCAATATAGTGACTATATTGAGTGACATAGTGATAATATATATCCACATACTCAAAGTCAACGATGGTGTGTGTGTTCGAGATTTTTAAGAACGTCTTTAGAGATGACGGGACCAAGGACACGATTCATCAAGCATTCACGTGTCTACTCTACGAAACCTATGAATCTTTCCTCGGAGGGGAGGGAAGGGAATTGTCAGGGGATAAAGTGCTAAGCCATTACGACTTTAAAGCACGTGGAAGGGGTCAGGATAAGGATTTGGGATGGGACTGGGGGAGGGGGGAAGGAATGATGCCCAACCACTTGTACGGTCGGGAATTGAACGCCGACCTGCATGCAGGGAGACCGTCGCTCTACCTGTCCAGCCCAAGTGGTTCCTCGAATCATGGCGAATTAGTCTGTATTTATTAGAGCGTTAACGAGCCTGGTAGTTCTACGAAGCTGTTGATAACAATAACAGCCACGGGTGGCGAAGTGTCTTAAGCCCATAAACTGTGTAATAAACACAGTCTAAGCGTCATGACTGAATAAAGATGTAGCGGTCTCGTAAGTGGACTCGTATACGCTTGCCCGAAACGCTATGCGTACTATATAGTGGCTTTAGGTATTGTGTGTACTACCGCTATCTTTAAATCTAACTGAATGTTTGTACTGTAACGCTGCAACTATGTATGTACTGTTCCTAAATAAATTATTATTATTAATTAATAATTATTATTATTATTATTATTATTATTATTATTATTATTGGCTCTAGCCTCAGCATTGTGTCAGTGTCTCATTAATACTCTCAGGGAGGTCTTTTATTTTTATCTTAGACATTTTCTTAGCCTGTGACTAGGAGAGAGAGCAGAGAATTATCAGCAGGAGGCGTTGTGTTGGTATATAGAGAACGAGATAATGCCAGAATTAGAACCTTTGTAGGATGGTTTTCTTGTGTGTGTAAATTGGGAGTGTCGGTCCTGTATGTGTGTGTACCTTGGACAAGACTTACCATGGTATGGAAGTACCATATACCAGCTCAATTACATTCTATCGGTTATCGTAGATATTTTGCCTCGGTTGATTCAAACAAGAACTAACTCGTTCACTGAATACCTATCTCCCTATCACCTAGCCTCCTTCACGGCATATATTTCTCCCCCCCCCCCCCCCCATCCTTGCCGTCCCATCCCACTCTCTCTCTCTCCTTTCCCTTTGCCTCTCCTCTCCGTCCTTCATAAGGCAGAGTGGCCACCCAGGGCTCCGCCCCCATCCCCCGGCGCCCAGTAAATCTTCCCAATATTCCATCCCGTTTTTTTACGACGTCGTTAATCGCCAACGAAGTGTTCTCACTCTCTCCTTATATTCCTTCTTCCATCTACTATGCTTTTTTTCTGCCATAATATATTATGTTCTTAGGTATCTCCCCATTGTTCAACTATTTTTTTAAATTGCTGTTCCTTTTTAACACACACACACACACACACACACACACACACACACACACACACACACACACACACACACACACACACACACACACACACAAAATGATGCAAAATGATACACACACACAGATGATGCAAAAATTGTGAGGAGGATTGAAACTGAGGACGATAGTAGGAGGCTACAAGATGACCTAGACAGACCGAGTGAATGGTCCAACAAATGGCTGTTGAAATTCAACCCGAGTAAATGCAAAGTAATGAAACTAGGCAGTGGAAATAGGAGGCCAAACACAGGATACAGAATAGGAGATGAAGTACTTAATGAAACGAACAGAGAGAAAGATCTAGGAGTTGATATCACACCAAACCTGTCTCCTGAAGCCCACATAAAAAGAATAACGTCTGCGGCATATGCGAGGCTGGCTAACATCAGAACAGCATTCAGAAACCTGTGTAAGGAATCATTCAGAATCTTGTACACCACATATGTAAGACCAATCCTGGAGTATGCGGCCCTAGCATGGAGCCCGTACCTTGTCAAGCACAAGACGAAGCTGGAAAAAGTCCAAAGGTATGCCACTAGACTAGTCCCAGAACTAAGAGGCATGAGTTACGAGGAAAGGCTGCGGAAAATGCACCTTACGACACTGGAAGACAGAAGAGTAAGGGGAGACATGATCACAACCTACAAAATCCTCAGAGGAATCGACCGCGTAAACAAGGATGAGCTATTCAACACTGGTGGGACGCGAACAAGGGGACACAGGTGGAAACTGAGTACCCACATGAGCCACAGAGACGTTAGAAGGAACTTTTTCAGTGTCAGAGTAGTTAACGGATGGAATGCATTAGGCAATGATGTGGTGGAGGCTGACTCCATACACAGTTTTAAATGTAGATATGATAGAGCCCAGTAGGCTCAGGAATCTGTACACCAGTTGATTGACAGTTGAGAGGCGGGACCAAAGAGCCAAAGCTCAACCCCCGCAGGCACAAATAGGTGAGTACACACACATGCCTCGCGGCTGAGTTTATAGGCTCGGGGGTCGTAGTTCTAATGGCCCTGGTTCGATTCCCGGCGGAGGCGGAAACAAATAGGCAAAGTTTCTTTCACCCTGATATCCCAGTTCACCTAGCAGTAAATATAGGTACCTGGGAATTAGACAGGTGCTACGGGCTGCTTCCTGGGAATGTGTCTGTGTGTGTTAGAGAGAAATGTATGATGTAGATATATTAGAGGAAAAATAGATTGGTTAGAAAGGCGGGCCTAAGCTGACACAAATAGTAAACACACACAAACACACACACACACACACACACACACACACACACACACACACACACACACACACACACACACACACACACACACACTATACATATCAGAGAACCAGGAACGAGTATGTTAGTGTGAGAAGAGAAGCTGAGAAAAAGTATGAAAATGGTATAACTAATAAATCCAAGACCGAACCAAAGCTACTCCACAGTCACATCAGGAATAAAACAACAGTGAAGGAACAGGTGATGAAACTTAGAACGAGTGAGGACAAGTACACAGAGAATGACAAAGAGGTGTGTGAAGAACTCAACAAGAGGTTCCAGGTCTTCACAATTTAGAACAAGGAGAGGTCACTGCACTAGGAGAGGTGGCAGTAAACCTTGCGGCCTTGGAAGGGTTCGAAATTACAGGAGATGAAGTCAAGAGGCATCTGTTGGATCTGGACGTGAGAAAGGCTGTTGGCCCGGACGGAATCTCACCATGGGTATTGAAAGAGTGATCAGAGGCACTTTGCTTGCCACTCCCCATAGTGTATAGTAGGTCACAGGAGTCGGGAGACCTACCAGAAATATGGAAGACGGCTAACGTAGTCCCAATATACAAAAAGGGTGACAGACAAGAGGCACTGAACTACAGGCCAGTGTCCTTAACTTGTATACCATGCAAGGTGATGGAGAAGATTGTGAGAAAATCCTAGTAACACATCTGGAGAGAAGGGACTTCGTGACAACCCATCAACATGGGTTCAGGGAGGGTAAATCTTGCCTTACAGGCTTAAAAGAATTCTACGATCAGGTGACAAAGATTAAGCAAGAAAGAGAAGGATGGGCGGACTGCATTTTTGTGGACTGTCGGAAAGCTTTTGACACAGTACCCCATAAAAGGCTGATGCATAAGCTGGAGAAACAGGCAGGAGTAACTGGTAGGGCGTTCCAGTGGATAAGGGAGTACCTAAGCAATAGGAAGCAGAGACTTACAATGAAGGGTGAGACCTCAGATTGGCGTGAAGTCACCAGAGGAGTCCCACAGGGCTCTGTACTCTGACCTATCCTGTTTCTTATATACGTAAATGATCTCCCAGAGGGTATAGACTCATTCCTCTCAATGTTTGCTAACGATGCCAAAATTATGAGAAGAATTAAGACAGAGGAGGACAGCTTGAAGCTTCAAGAAGACCTAGACAAACTGCAGGAATGGTCGAACAAATGGTTGTTAGAGTTTAACCAAAGCAAATGTAGTGTAATGAAGATAGGTGTAGGGAGCAGAAAACCAGATACAAGGTATCATTTGGGAGATGAAATACTTCAAGAGTCAGAGAGAAAGACCTGGGGGTTGATATCACGCCAGACCTGTCCCCTGAAGCCCATATCAAGAGGATAACATCAACGGCATATGCCAGATTGGATAACATAAGAACGGCCTTGAGAAACTTAAAATTTTCTAACAGAAAAATGAGGGCAGTAATCAGAGGCAATGTATCGCACTGAAGAAATGTTACGAGTGGAGTACCACAGGGTTCAGTTCTTGCACCGGTAATTGTGTACATGAACGATATACCACATGGAATACCGAATTTAATGAACATGTTTTGTGATGATGCTAAGATAATAGGGAAGATGATTGTCATGCCCTTCAAGAAGATCTGGACAAAATAAGTGTATGGAGCACCACTTGGCAAATGGAATTTAGTGTGAATAAATGCCATGTTATGGGATGTAGAATAGGAGAACATAGACCTCACACTACCTATAAATTATGTGAGAAATCTTTAAAGAATTCTGGTAATGAAAGAGATCTAGAAATGCTGTTTCACAATAGCAGTCACTTTCAAATCTGGAGATATTGCTGACCTGGAGAGCGTGCAGAGATCCTTTACTGCTAGAATCCACTCAGTAAACATCTAAATTATTGGGACCGACTAATGAACCTAAATCTGTATTCTCTTGAGCGCAGGCGGGAGAGATACGTAATAATTTACGCGTGTTAAATAGTAGAAGGGCTGGTCCCAAACCTGCACACAGAAGTAACACCACATGAGACCAGCAGGCATGGCAGGATGTGCACAATACCCCCGTTGAAAAGCAGAGATACAATAGGTACTCTGAGAGAGAACTCTATCAACATCAGAGGCCCGAGACTGTTGAACACGCTTCCACTACACATAAGGGGGCATAACTGGTCGACCCCCTCACAGTGTTCAAGAGAGAACTTGATGAACACCTCCAAAAGATACCTGATCAATCAGGCTGTGATTCATACGTCAGGCTGCGAGCAGTCACGTCCAACAGCCTGGTTGACCAGTCCAGCAACTAGGAGGCCTGGTCGAGGACCGGACCGCGGTGACCTTGAGCCCCGAAAGCACCCCAAGGTAACCGCAAGGTAAGGTACTAGACAGATAACTATCACCTAAGGACAACATAAAGAACATTGTGCGAGGGATTGATGCTACACTTTATAACTTCAGAATTGCTTTTAAATACATGAATTACGAAATACTAAAGAAATTGTTCACGACTTTTGTTAGACCTTACCTTACCATAAGGTAAGGTGACCAAAGCTAGAATATGCAGCGGTTGTGTGGTGCCCATATCTTAAGAAGCACATCAACAAATTAGAAAAAGGTCAAAGACATGCAACTAAATGGCTCCCAGAACTGAAGGGCAAGAGCTACGAGGAGAGGTTAGAGGCATTAAATATGCCAAAACTAGAAAATAGAAGAAAAAGAAGTGATATGATCACTACATACAAAATAGTAACGGGTATCGATAAAATTGATAGGAAAGAATTCCTGAGACCTGGAACTTCAAGAACCAGAGGTCATAGATTTAAACTAAACAAAGCTGCCGAAGAAATATAAGAAAATTCACTTTCGCAAACAGTGGTAGACGGTTGGAACAAGCTAAGTGGTGTTGGACGCCAAAACCGTCGGTAATCTCAAAGCGTTATATGACAAAGAGAACTTGGAAGACGGGACACCACGAGTGTAGCTCTCATCCTGTAACTACACTTAGGTAATCACACACACACACACACCTCGTGTGTGTGTGTGTGTGTGTGTGTGTGTGTAGGGGCCTCGTAGCCTGGTGGATAGCGCGCAGGACTCGTAATTCTGTGGCGCGGGTTCGATTCCCGCACGAGGTAGAAACAAATGGGCAAAGTTTCTTTCACTCTGAATGCCCCTGTTACCTAGCAGTAAATAGGTACCTGGGAGTTAGTCAGCTGTCACGGGCTGCTTCCTGGGGTGTGTGTGTGTCGTGTGAAAAAAAAAGTAGTTAGTAAACAGTTGATTGACAGTTGAGAGGCGGGCCGAAAGAGCAAAGCTCAACCCCCGCAAACACAACTAAGTGAAAACTAAGTAATACACACACACACACACACACACACACACACACACACAAGGGGGCCTCGTAGCCTGGTGGATAGCGCGCAGGACTCGTAATTCTGTGGCGCGGGTTCGATTCCCGCACGAGGCAGAAACAAATGGGCAAAGTTTCTTTCACCCTAAGTGCCCCTGTTACCTAGCAGTAAATAGGTACCTGGGAGTTAGTCAGCTGTCACGGGCTGCTTCCTGGGGTGTGTGTGTGTGTGTGGTGTGGGAAAAAAAAGTAGTTAGTAAGTTAGTAGTTAGTTAGTAAACAGTTGATTGACAGTTGAGAGGCGGGCCGAAAGAGCAAAGCTCAACCCCCGCAAAAACACAACTAGTAAACACACAACTAGTAAACACACACACACACACACACATATTCATTCATTCACAAGCATCCCCCTGCAAAGTACTTGAGAGAATTATAAGGTTAAGACCTGGTAAGAATTAGGTCTCTCTCTCTCTCTCTCTCTCTCTCTCTCTCTCTCTCTCTCAACCACAATTATCATCGATTAATCAATTATCAATCTGACCATAATTTATGCTGACATTAGGCCACCTTCCATGCCCCCCGCGAGCAGTGCTTCACTACATCTTCCTTATTCCTTCCAGTCATTCCTGGCGGCGGACGATGACGACTTCGGAGGCTGGAGCGAGGAGGAGCGGCCTCTCCCGCCCTCTAGGGAGAGAGCCACCACCTTCCCAGAGGGAGGCGCCACCCAGCACCTCCCCAGGGAGGAGCAGCACAAGTACCCCGGGGTACGCTTCAGCCTGCCCCCCAGAGACGAGATGCCCAGCTACCCCGGTGACCGACACCCCCTGCGAGGCAGCCCCAGAGAGGAGCGGTATTATCGGGGCATTAGACCCAAATACAAGCTGAGAGAAGCTGAGAGCTCCCCGGACATTCGCTCCCCGTATAGCCCCCGAGAGGAGCGGGGATACCCTGGGGCTCGAGGCCCTTTCAGCCCCAGAGACGAGCGCAGCTACTTGGGAGGGTTCCGGGCTTCCGAGTTCAGTCCCAAGGATGAGCGCATCTTCTCAGGTTTCCGTCAGTTTAGCCCTAAGGAGGATCGCATTTACCCCGGGGGAATCCAACTCCACAGCCCCAGAGAGGAACGCACCTTCCCGGGGGTCCTACCTCACCAGAACCCCCGCGACGACCCGACACGACCTCGCCCCAGAGACGACCACAGCTTCTCCGGCGTACGACCCCACCGGTACAGCTACATAGGGGTACGCGTCCAGCACCCCACCAGGGATCAGCTACGCCACAGCTACCCAACGGTACACCGCCCCTACCCGGCCACCTCCAGGGGCACCACGGGCACCTACCCCGGGGTACGACCGGGCCACAGTGCTTCGAGGGGCACTCAGAGGCCCCAGAGAGGCACCGGGAGTGATGGCCACTACCCCGTGGACCAGCTCATCAAGGCCACGGAGACGGTGGTGTGAGGTTACCCGCTCTGTCCCATCATGATGGTAAGCGACTCTGGTTGATTGTTCCCTTTACGATTGTAGCACAATGGTTGGGGGTAGTGATTGTTGGGGTAGTGAGTGATTGTTGGGGTAGTGAGTGATTGTTGGGGTAGTGAGTGTTGCGGCTGTGAAAGATGACTAGAATGCTTTTTTGTATTTGTTATTGAGGTATATACTGGTATTTCGGTATAGTGAGGACTGTTGTGCAACAATTGTTTGTCGAGGATTCTATATTTTGTAATGTGTAATGGGGAGGCGGGACGTATGTGGCACTTACTTCGGGAAGTAGCAATATCTACCACAGGAAGTAGCACTATCTACCACAGGAAGTAGCAATATCTACCACAGGAAGTAGCAACAACAAACCACAGGAAGTAGCAACAACAACCACAGGAAGTAGCACTATCTACCACAGGAAGTAGCAACAACAAACCACAGGAAGTAGCACTATCTACCACAGGAAGTAGCACTATCTACCACAGGAAGTAGCAACAACAAACCACAGGAAGTAGCACTATCTACCACAGGAAGTAGCAACAACAAACCACAGGAAGTAGCACTATCTACCACAGGAAGTAGCAACAACAAACCACAGGAAGTAGCACTATCTACCACAGGAAGTAGCAACAACCACAGGAAGTAGCACTATCTACCACAGGAAGTAGCAACAACAAACCACAGGAAGAAACAACACACATGACTCCGAAGACTGTGTATACCGTTGTAGTGATGAGAACTGCTGTTCAACTTTTATTGGTGTTCAAAGTTGACGTTAAACGCTATTTGGCGAGTGCAGCGGAGCTGGATCTGCCCAGATGTGGCTGACTGTAGCGGAGGTGGCTAAGGTTAGCAGCTGGTCGAAGGTAAGGGAACTATCAGGAGAAAGCGCCAAGGCATTACGACAATGTAGCACTTGGAACGGATCAGCAAAAAGGATTTGGGATTGGACGGGGGGGGTGGGAGGGGTAGGAATGGTGCCCAACCACTTGGAAGATCGGGAATTGAACGCCGACCTGCATGATGCAAGACCGTCGCTTTACCGTCCAGCCCAAGTGGTTGCAGCTGGCCGAGTCTAGCAGAGTTGACATGTATAACATGATTAATGTAAAATGCACAGTTTGAATAGCAAAGGCTACAAACCAAACTGGTTTAAGCTCTGGCTTAAAGCAGTTTATAAATAGTGAATATAAAATTAGTAAATAGTAAATAAACGCAGCTTGTGCTTATGAAGGAACAAGTTTAATTACGACCCATAACATCCTTGTCACCAAAATGACTTCTGAAATGTTTACATGAGTACGTTCAGAGAGCGAGGCGGCTCAGGACAATACTGGGACAAGGGCTCCTCTTCATTACCCGATTGATTACATTATAAATGACCAACATTTTTACCCCGCCTGTGATGTTACTAATGAGGTTATGAATCACCGGTATTAATTACTCCAGTTTATCATCTGCCCGTCGCCATTATTGTGGTTTAGATTCTGCCTGGGTTGCTAAATGCCTTCCGCCCACATATTTCAACCCCGACAAGTCTGTTCGGGAGAGTTATTTTGCGAAGGGCGGCGTTAACGAGGCAGTTTTATGTGCTTTGTTGCGTGCGATATGTTTTATTTTGTTCAATGTTGGAGAGAGAGAGAAGAGGTTTGAGGCCTCTGTTCTTGGTGATAAGTTGCCATAGACGGTGGGCGGGTCTGAGGCTATTGGCTAGTTGGCTAGTAAGAGTGACGCCAGGTCTGAGGATATTGGCTAGTTGTCTAGTAAGAGTGACGGCGGATCTGAGACTATTTGACTAATAAGGATGGCATTACACACGACTCAACTGGTGACGTATGTGCTTTTCTCAATAAATCACCACTTATAAGTACTTAGAAGTCTGCTCTTCGAGACTTATTAACCAACTGACAACCAACAAACAGGACAAATCTTCCACACACACAGCGAATCGCACCTCTGGAAAAATGCTTCATCAACGTACTGCAAATACCATAACTTGCCAACAGAACCTTATCCTAGGCCCTAACTGTTCAACAAATTCTAGAAATGTAATAATATTAACTTACGTCATTGTGGGGTCGACCGCCAGATGGACGAGCCTAGCCTGAGGACAGGTGACACAGCCCCTGACAGTGAAACTGTGACACTGCGCCGTTAACACGTGGCTTTAACAACATGTAAATGCATACTTATCCAGGAACAAGTTTACCTGGGGGGGAGGGGCCCCTCCCCTAGGGACGGGACCCCCATTGAACAACTTCAATCTTTTTTTTTTCAACTCATCGCGTTGCTTGTGATTTCATAGCCTAACCTCATTTTCATCTATCCTGAGAGTTACAACGCTGTCCCAAATCAGAAAACCTAATATCCACGTCATAAAGGCAAGCTTATGGCTGAAATATTATGAATAATCACCTTTTAGCGCCGGTCTTGCTTTTGTTTGATCTTCAAACTTTTGTATGTCATTGGTATGCATGTATGTATGTATAAACGTGTTCAAACATATTCATGAAACGTGGAACATTAGTTAATGCTCCCTCGCATTTTGAATGACGTTACGGAGTCATTGTTCCATCTTCAGTGCTAAAATAAACAAATACATCGGAAGATTAAATAAAAACATTAATATATTGTTCGAAACTATATAGATCGTTAAATGACTCAAAATTTTAAACCAAACTTAAATTATTTTAAGAGTTTTCTCGTGTTAAAATGTTTCTGCAGACGATGAGCCAGAGTAACGTGCCTGAAGAAATGATAACCAAACCACACGAAGAAATGAAGTTTCGGTCCGTCAGTCAGAAGTCAGTTTCGGTCCGTCTGTCAGAAGTCAGTTTCGGTCCGTCAGTCAGAAGTCAGTTTCGGTCCGTCAGTCAGAAGTCAGTTTCGGTCCGTCTTGGACCATTATCAAGTCCTGGACTTGATATAATGTCTAGTGGTTTGGATATCATAAAATTTTTGTCTCGTGTTGCAGTGTGTTCCTCTCGTATTAAAATATTTGTCTTGTGTTACAGTGTTTGAGGATGTGTTCAGCAGCCCCACCACCAACCACTCCAGCTTCCGTTCCCAAGAGTGATGGAACCTCTGTGTTATAAGTTACCATTTCCATTGTTTTAAATAAAAGTTGATATATCCTCGTGGTTTCATTTTTCTTCCTCCCTCAGACGCAACAAAAGGTCTACTGAAGATATTATCTCAAGAATATTGAATATGTAAACTGTAGAGTATAGATTTCATTGAAGATGAAGCCTTTATGAAGATGTAAGATTATTAATAATTTATATTAAAGATGTAATTTTGTGAATAGTGTTGAATATATAAGGTGAAAATTAAAGATTTAATTGAATATACCAAAGGCCCATTGTATGCAAAAAAAAAAAATTCACTTTTGGTAGTGGAGTCGCTGATGATAATTCTTAAGAACAGATGTCCTTGATGGAAGGTGAAAGTTAAGAAATTTTGAGGCTGGAGAGAAAATAGGCGAATTATACGGCAGGTGAGGCTGCTTTCTCTCCTGGCGGAAGCCTACTTATTTCCGATCAAAATTTCGGGTCGTGCATTTTAAATGATAAGAGCCTCTGAAATAAAAATTTTCTTTTAATTTAGTATATTATATTAAAAAAGTTTACACGAAATACAGTATATAATTGTATTACCCTAAAACATCAACAGAGCCGATTAAAGCAACAGAAATATCACGCTAAAACCTGCCGCCAGCAAAAAAAAATGTGGATCGCATGGTATTATAGTTTAAATTAATAATAAAGCACAGAATAAACTGGAATCAATATTTCAAACTTGTGTGACGCCGAGACAAAATAAAAAAATAAAAAACTTACCATTTTTAACCTGCAAGATGCTGCTTAAATGTTTGTTTTCTTGCCCCCAAAAGTGTTTTAAACCTACACAAGAGGAAGCAAGCAGTTGACAAAGCGTGGGGCCACGACCGGAGGGAATAAGTAGGCAGGGTCGAGGCGGATACAAACGACCAGAGTGGTCGACAATCCCAGGGAAGTCGAACGCCAGTGACTGTACAGATAGATGGTTTCGGCGAGCAAGGCTCAAGATTTTTTTTGTGCTCGCGCCTTATTTTTAGATTTACTGGTGGGCTATATACTCGAAAATTTGTCATCCCGGCTGTTTGATAGTCCGGAGCGCAAGCAGTGATGAAGTGTAATGTAAACGCCAGTGAAGGTTATATTGTTTCATTGTTTGGGGGAGCCGGGCTGCCTCCGCCGACCCCCTCCCTCCCTCAACACATTTATTTCATTTTAATTTAATTCTTTACTTTACCCGTTGGGTCGAACAGTTCGATGTACGATACAATCATTGTTCTAACGTTGCTCTTTTTAGCTATGTAAATGTGTTTGAAAATTCATGAGTGTGTGTGTGTGTGTGTGTTTGATGAGGCGAGTGTTGACTAGCCTCGTCGAGCGTCAATATTGAGTATTGAAGGACCCAGACTGGCAGTAATCACCCGTGAACTCCTCTATTTGTTATAATGGCCAAGCGTCGCAGTCTCTCAATATATATATTTATATATATATATATATATATGCTGGACCAATAAGACTTTTTTGGTTTAAAGCGTGCTTTAAAGAAGTAATAATTAATTGGTGAACTTTAAAGAGAGAGTTTAATTTGTAAACATTTAAAGGAGTAATTTAGGAACTTTTGAGTCCAACAAAATGGACACATCGTGTTCGAGTCATGAAATAAAATGGTAATCTATTCATTGTTTAATATTCAACATTTCATGCCAAAAATTATAATAGCTTTATTTGCATTGCCAACTTACCTCGCTTATATTTGTAATTTTGGTTGATGTTTCCTGTTATATCATATAGGCCTCTTGTTAATGTGAACATGTAAGCCTACTGCCAAAGTGATCATGTAGGTCTACTATCATAATGAAAAATGTAGGCTTACTATCAAGATGAACAAGTAGGCTGTCAAGGTGAACATGCCGGCCTACTGTCAGGTTTAAGAATGCAGGGTTACTATCAAGGTGAACAATGTAGGCTTAATATCAAGGTGAATATGTAAGCATATCACATAATCAAGCCTTCCACCTGAGAGACGGGTGATATTAGATGGGTTTAGATAAAAAGTCATATTGTTTTTCCTGAGGTATTTTACAAACACCGAACCATTTCTGATTGTTTTATCATCCCCTAACTTATTGTGTCTTGCGTTAAAGTCACTTATTATGATGGTTTCAGAGTTGCTATTGATGGAAGGAAGAGATGGCTCAATCATTCTGTCACATCTCACGTAGATGTTGCAGAGGAAGAAGGAGCCAGTCTCTGTGGATATGTGATAATAGGTGACTTTTGATAATAGACTTTTGATAATAGGTGTCTTCACTCTTATGATTATCAATTTGTTTAACAACCAGACCACTTTTAACATATGTTCAGTATGCCTACATCATGAGGTCCTGCGTTCGAAAAAGATACGTATCCCGGGAGTCTAGGTGGTGTCTTGTGTAAGGTGTTAAAACGTATATGGTTCTTGCAAGCAGACTACGTCAACATTATTGTTACCTACATATATAACAATATCAGCAAGTCTCTTGCGCACACTGCGCATATTCCAATACAGGAATGTGAAGGCCCTTGTTGCTGTTGTGCTAGTCACCATGGCCATTCTGCTTCCCAGTATGATCTCTAATTTTAGAGTTTATCATATTAACGACATTAAACAAGGTGATTAGTTCTTCCTTTACTGTTTGATACTGTGTATCCTTCCAGACATCTTGCCACTCTTTTAGTCAGGAGTTTGATCCAGCAGTCGTAGAATAATCATTTGAACTCTATGAATAAAATTGCCTACTAACTTGCTCTATATTTTGCCTCTACTAACGTAAACGAATCTATAATGATATTAACAAAGTGACTTTCTACGAACCAGTAAATACTTTGCCTCGCCGTTCTTGGAGAAAATTAAGTAATTCTCTGCCTTGTTCGCCAGCGACCGTAATCCAGGATAAAAAATAAAATATAATTCCAAGTATGAACAAACTACTCGCTAAACAATGGAGTCTCGACAAAACTTACACTATATCCATATCCTACAATATATATATATATATATATATATATATATATATATATATATATATATATATATATATATGGTAGCAGTCTTTCTTGTAAACATATGTTGTTGAATATGACCGAAAGGGGTAAGATAACGATTCTAACACGAATCTTCTCAATATTTCTTACGTTGTTCTTCACTGTCGAGGGTAATTGAAAAATTAACTCTCCAAAGTTTATTTTCACATTTTTATTTATGGCCTGACGCCTAGAAGCGTTTCGTAAGAGACTTCTCATTTTCAAAGACAATTTTTTTATAAAATAGAGTACATAAAAATTTTTCTTTGAAAATGTGAGAAGTCTCTTACGAAACGCTTGTAGGCGTCAGGTCATAAATAAAAATGTGAAAATGAACATTGGAGAGTTATATTTTCAATTACTCTCGACAGTGAAGAACAACGTAAGAAATATTGAGAAGATTCGTATTAGAATCATTAATCTTCCCCTTGCGGTCATATTCAACATTATATATATATATATATATATATATATATATATATATATATATATATATATATATATATATATATATATATATATATAATTACCATCATTACTATAATTACTATAATTACCATATCTTAAAAAAAATTACCATCTCTTTTAAGGGTCTGAGCGGTGGTGCAGAGGGTTAAGGCGTACCTGTTATGCCAGTTGCTGGAAGGCTTCTGTGCTGGCTAGGGTTCGAGTCTCCTGGTGGGAAAGTGTTCTAAAGTTGTATACTTAACTCTCGTGTTTAGGAGAGTTGTGCCTTAAGCAGAGACACTGTGTCTTCCCATATTAACAGGGACTTGATGAAATTAACGTCTAAATGACCCCTCACTTGCTCTGGTGCTCTTGGGAGGTGTTGATCTTTGGGGTATTTAAATACTCCGAAATTACCATCTCTTTTAAGGGTCTGAGCGGTGGTGCAGAGGGTTAAGGCGTACCTGTTATGCCAGTTGCTGGAAGGCTTCTGTGCTGGCTAGGGTTCGAGTCTCCTGGTGGGAAAGTGTTCTAAAGTTGTATACTTAACTCTCGTGTTTAGGAGAGTTGTGCCTTAAGCAGAGACACTGTGTCTTCCCATATTAACAGGGACTTGATGAAATTAACGTCTAAATGACCCCTCACTTGCTCTGGTGCTCTTGGGAGGTGTTGATCTTTGGGGTATTTAAATACTCCGAAATTACCATCTCTTTTAAGGGTCTGAGCGGTGGTGCAGAGGGTTAAGGCGTACCTGTTATGCCAGTTGCTGGAAGGCTTCTGTGCTGGCTAGGGTTCGAGTCTCCTGGTGGGAAAGTGTTCTAAAGTTGTATACTTAACTCTCGTGTTTAGGAGAGTTGTGCCTTAAGCAGAGACACTGTGTCTTCCCATATTAACAGGGACTTGATGAAATTAACGTCTAAATGACCCCTCACTTGCTCTGGTGCTCTTGGGAGGTGTTGATCTTTGGGGTATTTAAATACTCCGAAATTACCATCTCTTTTAAGGGTCTGAGCGGTGGTGCAGAGGGTTAAGGCGTACCTGTTATGCCAGTTGCTGGAAGGCTTCTGTGCTGGCTAGGGTTCGAGTCTCCTGGTGGGAAAGTGTTCTAAAGTTGTATACTTAACTCTCGTGTTTAGGAGAGTTGTGCCTTAAGCAGAGACACTGTGTCTTCCCATATTAACAGGGACTTGATGAAATTAACGTCTAAATGACCCCTCACTTGCTCTGGTGCTCTTGGGAGGTGTTGATCTTTGGGGTATTTAAATACTCCGAAATTACCATCTCTTTTAAGGGTCTGAGCGGTGGTGCAGAGGGTTAAGGCGTACCTGTTATGCCAGTTGCTGGAAGGCTTCTGTGCTGGCTAGGGTTCGAGTCTCCTGGTGGGAAAGTGTTCTAAAGTTGTATACTTAACTCTCGTGTTTAGGAGAGTTGTGCCTTAAGCAGAGACACTGTGTCTTCCCATATTAACAGGGACTTGATGAAATTAACGTCTAAATGACCCCTCACTTGCTCTGGTGCTCTTGGGAGGTGTTGATCTTTGGGGTATTTAAATACTCCGAAATTACCAT